CGTGTAACTTACCTCCATTATTTCTAAGTTTTCCCTCTAGGTCATATATTCTTAATATTTTTTGTGTTACATATCCTTTTGTTGGGCTAGAGAATCCTTTCTCAGAATATTTTAAATGTATAAAATAAAATACAGAGGATTACAAAGGAAGCCAATTTTATTGAAATATAGTTACTAAGATTAAAAAAAAAGTTCATGGACTCCATGTTAAGAACTCTTGCTCTGGGGATACTCAGTGGTAGTTAAATCACTCTTCTGCAAGACAGCCCTTCAAATATTGAAAGATAACTATCATATCCACCTTTAGTCTTCTTTTCTCTAAGTTAAACATCCTGAAGCAGATATTTAAGGTCGTGTTGACCTGTATTTAATTGAAATGTTATAAAAACTTTTGTTTTTAAATTTTTTTCATTAAAAAAGTAACACCATACAGATAATCTGCCATTGTTAATTTAATAAGGTAATAAATAGGATTTGAATGACTGTGATTCTTGTGTTAAATCTTGGCTATTTTAGAATGCTAAATATATACTTCCTACTAAAATCCCCTCAGGTACTACCTCATTCTGTAGAATTGACCCTAAGTACTTGGGGGGATACTAGTTGAGCTCAGGTTCTTGCAGGTTCTGCCCTCTAAACTGGAAATATTTTTAATGAGTCAATGACAGATTATATCTGTCTCCAAATACGACCTCACAAAGTTTGGAGAAACTCATCGCCAGAAGCTTGGCTATCATGTAACAACTTTTTCATCCTAGCAACTCATGAAGGACCATCTGCTACAGTGTAGAAGTCTTGCAATCCTGGGTGGTTGAGTTGAGAGAGACAAAGAGAGAGAGAGAGAGACAAAGCACAGAGACCTGAAGTACTGAAGCACAAACATTTATTTGCTGGCATTTTTAATACATGCCATTTTAAAAAAATATCATTTTAAGGTATCCATAGTATCTGACCAGATGAAAAAAAAATATGTAGTTCAAAAAGCACTGGCGATTGGATTCAGTCTCTCTGTATTTTGTCGCCAAATAAAAGTCTACTCCGTAATATGCTGTATTTAAAAAACAAATTAGGGTGCTTATTCTCTTTACAACAAAATTAGCCAAAAGATTCTTTTTAATAGAGGATAGAATCCTTATTGCAGTAAAAAATTATTTAAACACAGCTTTTCAGAAACACCCCTATTACATAAAGTGAGGTATCTGTGAACTTGTACAAGTTTGGAGTATTGCACAAGATGGACAATGTACAGCTATCAGATGAGTGTTTCTCAGACTGAAAATTGATACTCCTTGGGGGGAGCAGGAGGAATTCCAAGAGTTTGCCAGATACCTGAGCTTCAGAGCTCTTAACAGCTGCTTAAGCTAGATGGAGGCAGAATAGAGCCTGAGGAAAAACTTATCAAGTACACAGCAACTAAATGCAAGTGGACAGAGGGCTCTGAAGATGAACTTTGTGGGGCATGCAGTGTTCTAGGAGCCCTTGGGAGAGGAAAGGTTGTGTAGTATGATCATAGGATAAAGAAGTTGGTAGATTCTTGCCCTCTAATAAAGATTAAGGGGCAAACTCTTTTCATTGGTGTTAATAGGTAGCAGTGTTTAAGATATGTAGCAGTGGCCGCAGTCTTGTTCTTTCCGAACATATATATATGTAAGAGTAATCAGTTACGCTTTCTGGCCAATTTCATCTAACCAATATACCTATGTATGTGTTTTTAGTATACTTTTCTTGCTATATCAAGTTATATGTATGTGTGTATATGTGTGTATGTATACATATATATGTATGTGTGTATATGTATGTATGTATACATATATATGTATGTATACATAAATATATATAATTTGCAGGCACGGGCACACATGTGCGCACACATGGACTTGAGTCATCTATTTGGCACTGATGGAATCTTCTTACCAGCTGTTACTTTTTCAAGATTCTATTAATATAGTAATAATCAGTTTCTCTTCTAAATGAATCTTTAGTCCTGTTATAAGCATTAATTTTTAAATCTATTTGATGTTGCACACTGGGCAATAACAATTATATTTGGAAAATATATCTTCTTTCCTTTCTACTAGCTACTTTGAGTAGTCTAGCCTATAAATGAAGAGATAGATACAATTGTTGAAATAAGAATATAGTCTCCCAAAGATGACGATACTCATTTGAACATATATGTGTCAGTATTTTTTAAATCCATCACATTATTTTATAGTCATACCTTATAGTCAGTAATTTTTTCCGGTGACCTTTTTTTGAAGATGAGCTAGCTTTCTTTATATGGAATTATTTTTAGTGTCTTAGCTTCTCAGGTTATCCCAAATGAGTGAAGTAGTAGAAATTCTCTACTTGTTTAGCAGTGGCTTATTTTGGAATGACAGAGATAAAGGCAGAATGTCAGTAATAGTCTTATATTACTCTAGCATACAACTATATGCTAGGTTCAAGGCTAGTTAGGAATCTGTATAGACACAGCCAGATGCACAGAAATTCTCTTAATCTGAGGATCTATAACAGTGAAAAAAATTTGATTGTATTTCCATGAAGTTATATGGGAAAATTACATATTTATTTCAATATAACTAGTTTCTCTTGTAATCCTATGTATTTCATAACATTCTAAGAAAGAGCTCATAGGCTTCATCAGCCTACCAGAATGGTCCATGACAATAAAAAAAGATTAAGAATTTCTGCAGAATATGAAGCAGTGAATGATGAATAGTTCCATACTAATCGGGAGTATACAAGTTTTAGGACGCTGTGACTTTAAGGCAATATAAAAATATCAGCTTGCACAGGGTGAGCACTGACTTGTGCTAGCTGGTGAATCATACGAAATACAATTTTATTCATTTTCCTTCCTTTATATCTCTTGGGGGAAGAGTTAAACGAGAATAAAATATTTATAGGTCAGAAAAGAAGCTTGGCCTAATGGATAGAGACACAGCCTGACCGACTTAGAAAGACCTGAGTTTCTGGCCCACCTCTGTCACTGCTGGCTGTGTAATCCTGGGGTTGTCACTGAACCTCTTAGTGCAGTAAGCTTCTCTATTAGACTGTTATTAGCAGAATATTTGCTTATCCACATTGGTATAGGGAATTTACTGACTGGGAATTCCATACCCTGATGCAATCACAGGTCCTGAACACTTCCCCCCCCCCTAAAAAAATTATAAAGCTGGTTTAAAAAATAAATAACACTTAAAGGCCTTGTCTAATATACTTAGCCTGTCCTTAAATTTAGAGGGTACCGTGATTGAGAGAATGTTGAATGCGGAGGCTGAAAAGATGGTTCAGACCCTGTCTCTGACACTTACTAGCAACGTGACCATAGGCAAGTCTTTTAATGCCTCTAAACCTCAGTTTCTTTATCTTTAAATCAAAGCTGTTGGTTCTAAATTGGTTCTAAATTCAGTGATACTACAATCCTGATTCTATAGTGGGACCACAGGATTTCATCTCTCTCTGTCCTTCCCTTTCTCCTAGTAAAATATAAGATTCTTTAAGTCATTTTTGTCTTTGTATCTCTAGCACTTCATATAGTGCTTTGCACATAGTAGGTACTTAGTACATGTTTGTTTTATTGAAGTGCCTTGCCTGTGTATATAAACTGTGTTGGTAGTACTGATGAAAGAATCCTAAGGAGAACACAGCATATAGAATAGTATCCTCAACTGTCCTCAACTGCGATGTAAGATTACGTTGGTAGTCAGGGAAGTGTGTGTGTTGTTAAGTGTTGTTAAGTGTTGGGTGCATCATCAAATGGAGAAAGCAATGCCACCACCCCTGCTGTGGAGCATAAAGAGGGCATTTAATCAAGCACTACCTAGCTGTCGTCAGACTGACGTCATAAGAGGGTGCTGTCTTTTCTTTCACAGTCAAAGCAGACCACTGAGTGCAGTGAACACTAGCTGCTTCAGCATATGTTTATTCTGAAATATATTACGTGATTAGGAATCCGTTGTCATCAGTCTTATGTAGCATTTTCAGGTGATTAATTGTTAAGTGTTTAGTAAGATTTCTGGCTGGGGTGTGAGGCCACTTTGGGCTGGTATATAAGCACACCACCAGGTCCAAGGGCATAGATGTGCTATACTTAGAAGGTATCATTTGCCACATACAGGCATTAAACAGTTTCAGGTTAGCAGTGATTTTTTATGCCACTCCTTTGTTAAAACCCTCCCTGAAGTTGGATTCTTTCTCTTTTCTCAGCTGAGCTAGATGTAGAGCATACTCAGAAGGTACTAGATATGGAACACAGCCAACAGCTGAAACTAAAAGAACGCCAGAAATTCTTCGAAGAAGCCTTCCAGCAGGACATGGAACAATATCTTTCCACAGGCTATCTGCAGATAGCCGAACGACGAGGCAAGTTTGGACATGATTTCCTCTGGTACATGTGTATCTGTATGTGTCTCATACAACTGACTCATCCAGGGTGGGATTGGGAACAGGGCCGTTTAATATCTAAATCTGTTATTGAACATATACTCATATTGCTCAAATATTCATCTTATTGGTTTAGATCTACTTTCTGGCATTGCTCCCTCTGTCCCCTAGGCTTTAGGAAATGGGAGAAAATTTTAACTGCCCAGTGGAGCTTTTAATATACCTTCATTTACCCTCCAAAATGCTCATTCCTGAACTCCTTCCTATGACAGGAAGCACCCGAGGTCTACTTTGTGTTTATGGGCTAGAGCCAAGAAGGTGAGACACTTCTACCCTCATGCTATAATATAATTAGTTGAATTCAAAACTAGTTGAATGGCTGGACTCAAAGAATAGTTGTTAATTGTTTGATGTCAGCATGGCAAGAGGTCTCTAGCAGAGTGCCCTAGGGGTCTGTAGTTGGCCCTGTGCTGTGTAACATTCTTATCAGTGACTTGGAGAAAAGTACAGATGCCGTCCTTGTCCGATTTTCAGATGATACAAAACTGGGAGGAATGGTTAACATACTGAAGGATCCTAAAAGCTTCTAACAGGCTAGATCACTGGGGTGAATCTAATAAGATAAAATTCAGTAGGGCTAAAGGCAAAGTCTTAGATACAGTTTTGGAAAAGTAACTTCACAGACACAGGGTTGGGAAGACATGGTGACACACTACTTTGTCTGAAGATCTTAGGGCTGGAGGGGAAGGTTAGTGGACCGCAAACTCCACGTGAATCACTAGCGTGATATAGCAGCCAAAAGAGTTAATGTAATCTCAGGCCACATAACGAGAGGCATAACTTCCAGGAACAAGAAGTGATTGTCTCTGTTCTCTGCCCTTGTCAGACCACAGCTGCAGTATCATGTTCAGCTTAGAGGATGTTGATAAGCCGGAGACTGTCCAGAGGAAAGCAGCTGAGAGAGTGAAGGGCCCAGTCCGTGTCTTCTCAGAATTGGTTGAAGGAATTGGGGATGTCTCACCTGGTGAAGAGTACTTAAGGGAGATATGATAATTATCGTCAAGTATTTGAAGAGTTGCCATATGGAAAAGGAATTAGAATTGTTCGGTTTGACCTCAGCAGGAAGAACCAAGAACAACATGTGAAATTTAGGCTGAACACAAGGAGAAGCTTCCTGAGAACCAGAGCTTTCCAGAGGTGCAGTAAGCTGCCTGGAGAGCTGGTAGGCTCCTCTTTACTGAAGTCCCCAAACAGAGGTGCTGATGACTACTTATTTTTCAGACATGTTATAGTGAGAATTCCTTTTGGTTTTAGGCTAGACAAAATGGTTGTTGAGGTCCCTTCTGACACTAAAATTTTTTGATTCTGTTATTTTGAAATTCACAGAAGAGATTTCTGTCAGTTGTAGAAATGGCAGCAGGACAAGAAAGTATAATACTCCCTTTCAATTCTCCTGTGTTTTTAAAAAGCCTTTCCCTTCCAGGTTTCTATCACCCTGCCATTTTTTATATTCTGCTCTTTTCCCACCCTCTTTACTGTATCTCTTTTATACTCTCCTATCTCCATCATCCTACTCTGCTTCCCTAATCAAGGGAGGTATCTAGGGGGAAAAATGGGAACAAATGGTGAAGGAAGGAAAGGAATGTAGAAGAAACCAATTGGTTAATAATCTAAGTATCTGAAGTATGATAAATAGATGCATATGATTATATAATTGTCTCCAACCCCAATCCTGACTATGTGATGTATGTTTCAGTTTTAACACCTTATTTCCTTTTTTGTTTTGTTTAATCAATGCTATTTTTTGATGGATATAAAGTTTCAGAGAAAAACATAGAGAAAACTTTACAATATAGAGAAATGAAATATTCTACCATTTTTAGGGATGACCTCATTTTATTTTTACCAGATTTTGTAACTTCAGTAATATCATGATCTGTTGTTATGAGGCACCTGTTGCCAAGGCACAGAAAGCTTTGTTTGTGTTTACCATCCACAGTTAATTAAAGAGGTAGAGCCTTTATAGAAAGCTAACCTGGGTGATTTTTGGCAGAAACAATCTCTTTCCTCAACAGCTAGTTTGTTTTTGTTTTAATTGGAGGTTGAGATGGAATGGAAATTTAACTGGCTAAGTGCCTCAACTTTCTACCTCACTTTACCTTCACAGATATTGTTTAGATTTGCAAATCGTTTTCTTATCACAGTTTATCCAAGGATAGTTGGGAGAAGACTACTGTCAGAAGGGGAAGAGCCTCATACAAAACGTGGTTCATGACATGGAAGTCACTGCTTTGTCTTTACACAAGAAGCACCCTAAATATGAAAGAGATTATGGAATTCATTTATTCATTTATAAAATATTTAAATGCTTTTGTGTGCAAAGTGCTTTATTGGATTCTGAAATGTAAAATTTAGGGAAGACATGGACCTTGTTCTCAGAGCTTACGTTCTACCACGTTAGATTGTGAACTTTAGAAAAGATGAGTTAGTCTATTGATGTTAATGGTAGAGTTAAATGTTTTGCCTAAGAAAAACAATATATTTCTTCTTCAAAATAGAATCACTTTATCAGAAGATGATTTTTTCATGTAGGGAGCAAAAGTCCATTCATTATTTAATATAAGATGTCATGTAAAAATGCCATGTTTTTCCACCTCTCTGATGATGTCGCTTCATGGTCAAGTTTCTAAAGGCCCAGACTGGTTTTTATTCCACACATTCTAATGCGCATGGGCTCTTCTTATGTTAGATAAATTTGTTTTACTTTTAAGCTGTCCAGTTTGGTTAACAACTTTAGTAACTTGGAATGAATGTGACTTAGGGAAATTTTGCACATGTAGTAAATAATGGTGACCTCTATATGATTTCCTTTTCCACATATGCATGGACGGCTGAAATAGCCTGTGCCAAATCCATTGTGAGGTATGTAAACTTTTTTTGAGGACATAGCCCTTGGCTTTCCTTTCAATAAAGGCTGTTAGCTTAGTTAACTAAACTAGTCAGAACATAGTGCTAATGAGGACTAGATCCTGGTGTAAATGAGCTTTGTGCTATGCCCTGGCCACAGCACCTTAGTGCTGCCTGTTCTCTTGCAAATATGTCACAGAGGAACCAAGCAACAGGGTATAGATTAGGGCAAATCTGTTGAGGCTGTTGGAGTAGCAGTTCAGAGTAAATGTCCTAATGGTGGCTAGAGTGTCTCTTCATATAGGAAGGAAAGTGAACACAATCATCATGGATGTTTACATGACTTTAATAGTTTGGTGTTAACACACAAAAAGATAAATGATGCCACTGCAATATGCAGGCAGCCTTTGTGTAAGTAGATTGGTTTGCTTTGAAATACAGAAGTCAGGAAAGCAAATTTGTTTTTTCGTGTTGAGGAAAATTGTGTTCCGCAAATAGTGCACTACTCACTGTTAAATGGTCATTTGGTGAAATTTGGAAGGTGTCCTTTATTCCTTGTTGCATTTGGTCAATCAGCTAGCCTTTACTAAATACCTGCTATTATGCCAGGCACCATGCTAGATGTCAGGGACGCAGGGTTCCAGAAATGAAACTCCCCACCTTGAGGACCTGGTATTCTGTGAAGATGTGAACAGCAGTATGTTTAAAATATACACATGTAAAATAAATACACAGTAAATTTTTGGAGTGAGGGATCAAGAAAGGCATCACATTTTAATGTGACTTATTTTCTGACCTTATGTTTAGCAAAATCTGTGTCAAAACAGTATAGCACTCATTGTGAGAGAGCATCTGACGCTCCTTGCTAAAACTATACTTAATCAAATTGCCCTTCTTGTGACCATGTTGTGTGGTTATCTTGTGTTCTGTTCTAAATGTTCTTAAGTCTTCCGTGGTGAGGCTGATTGGCTCCTTGGAGAAGTGATACAGCGTAGTTCTGTTGGCCAAGTAGCAAACTGTGGCAGGAAGTGAGAGGGGAGTGCGTGTCCCCATCCCTGCCCAGTCCAGGGATCAGAGACCAGAACACATGCAGAATTTGAGCCTGAGGAAATGTTTTAGAAAGTATGAGAGAGGTTTTAGTCTTCACAGTTCTGTGACACCTGACTCAGAAGAAGAAGAATGGAAATATGGCAGCTTTATACATGCTAAATGTATATTATTGTTGCTTTAAACAAGCTAATTTTTGACAATTCCCGCTATCTCTGGCATAACTTCCTCAAATGTCAAATAGGATTGGTTAATGTGTCTATCAGTATAGAGGGACATTTTATGAGTTTTTTTAAAATTAGAGAAAAAATAATAGCTAGCGTTTATGTGTGCCAGGCACTGTGCTAATCTGTTTACAAATATTATCTTATTTGATCCTCACAAGTCTGGGAGGTAGATGCTATTATTATTCTCATTTTACAGTTGATTAAACTGAGCCAAACAAAGGTAAAGTGACACGCTCAAAATCACATAGCTATGAAGTATCTGAGGCCAAATTTGAACTTGTATCTCCTTGACTCTGAGTTCAGAACTCTATCTACTGCACCACCAGCTGCCTCTTGAGTTTTTCAAATTTTGTCTTTAGCTAGGGCAATCTTTAATTGAGAAGCAGCCAGAAAGAACAAACGAGTCTCTAAAAAAAAAATCAGCTTACAACTATTCTTTAAATGTCCTCACTTTGACAGTACAGACTGCCCTTTCCTGGAGAAGATTTCCAAAGTTGAATGTGAAGAAATTCAATTAATTAGGAATAATCCAAAAATATATCACCATCAAGACATTTTAGTCATTACCATTAAATGAAAAGTAGGCTGAATTTCTGTCACATGCCCCCCATATTCATTTTGAAATTGAGACAAGGCAAGGAAACTAATATTCAGAAGATGGCTATTTATAGAATCTTCTATATTTACTGAGAAAAGAAGGAAAGGGCTTAAAGACCCACTTGGGCCATAGCAGGCTAAGTTGGTCCACAGAATGAGAAGCAGCCTTATGTTCTTTTAGAGGTTCTTGGCACGGTGAGT